GAATGCTTTCCAGCACTGAAGGCTCCTTATAATTTTCCACTAAACACCTCCAGGTTAATACTGTAGCAACAAGAATCCCACAGTGGAATGTGTTGAACAGTCCCATTGTGATTAATGCTGTACCTCTTCAGGAAGGATGTAAAGGTCAAGTTTAGGAGGACTACAGTGATTTACTAACAGAAATCTGGTAGCTATTTCCAGGGGTATTATTCAAAAGTCTGCTTTATTTCCAAATAAATGACTGAACTTGGATTTGGCACTTCTGATTTCAAGGCTGCTGGCGAGAAAGGAACAATGGGTATGTGCCTATTACTAAAAAGTGAATAAATAAACCTCCTAAAGGCCTTTCTAATCTTTGACCTACAAGAGTCATACACTTTTGACCTCCAAAATGGAGAATGCTCTAATGACACCCCCACGCCACCCCTGCAACTCCACAGCATTCCCTTTCCTCTAAGTAGTTACAGTGTTATCAAAACAATCAGCATCTGGTTTCTAATGATGTCTGTGGAAAATTGATTTTCATTCATTATAAATCAATTTGCCCCTTTGCTGTGGGCTACTGTCATCAACAGGAAAGTAATGAAATAATGATCTGTCTTACCCAATTGTACTGAACTTGTTCAGTTTAATTTTCAAAAGATGAAAATAGCAGGCTTTTTTAAAATATATATTTTAAAAATACTAGATTTTAAATGTAAAACACTTGCTTTTTCTAAAGATTGGATTGCAGAGGACCCACATTTCATCAGAGTGGAGCTATCTTCCTTTGTCTTGTGACTGGTTGTCCATCAATCAGGAGGGCAGACACAAGTATTTATTTACCCTCTGAATAGAAGGCACTGAGATGAAAGATATCACTTTACACTATAGGCTGATGTTACAATAACTACAGAGAAACACTATTTTCAGAAGCCCCGGGCCTCCTCACCGCACCCATTGAAGAGCATATTATATAGACAGTTTGTATATGTTCTGTAGAAGAAAATTCACTATCTATTCATGTAACAATGACCTAATCTGCCTCTACATTGTATTTATTCAATACATTTACAAGTTTCTTTTGTCTGTTTACATTACTTAGTTTTCAATTAAAATATTCAAGGTCTGGCCTAAAGCCCTGTCCTTTTCAACAGAGACTGAATGAATCTCACTTAATATAATATTATTTATCAGCTATTAAATTATTTCAATTCCATTTTTGAACGTTAGTATTTGTTTCATTTAACTATAACAGCATGGCTTCAAGAGCTAAATATCAACACAGTGGCCCAGATCATACCACTGCATCCTCACAGGGCGGGGAATCTCCATATTTGGAAGAGAGAAGTCAACTGACTCTACATCATTGTTTCCCCCTCATCTGAAACCTTTGGATGGGGCTCTGTGGATTCAAGTTCAGCATGAGGAGAAGGGACTGAAACTGTACAGGCCAGAGGGAGAGGCAGGCAGGCTGGAGCCAAGAGGTGGGTGAGAATGACACACATTGCGCCGTATAGCCCCATGAATGGTGATTCCCCAGAAAAGTGAATACAGCTCAGGTCTCTAGTTCTTCTTTCCTCAGAACTCCCATGGCTAAGGGAGATGCAATGTCAGAGAGCAAAGGAGGGCCTGCAATGCCCAGAGGTGAAAGTAAGCTGGTACAGCATACTGGCAAGAGCCAGTACGCCGTGCCGGACCAGCCCCGCTGGTGATTTAAAGGGCCCGGGGAATTTAAAGGTCCCGCCTCTTCCGGTTGAGGTCACACCTCTTCCAGTTGAGACCATGCCCCCTGCTCAAGACTCCAGAGTACCGGTAAGTCCTTTAAGTTACTTTCACCCCTGGCAATGCCAGAGCCACTGCAGATACACGGGGACTCTACTAGGATGGCATTGGCCTCCCTCAGGTCCCTGGAGATCTACCAAATTTGAGGGTGGACCCCGTTGTCTTTTCTGGGGGGAGAGGGGCCAAACCACATTTTCCCCAGCAAGACACTGTGAAGGGATCCTCATAAAAATTTCTCTGTTCAGAATCATCCATCCCTCTAAGCTCCCTGTACGTGTTACTCCAAGAACAGATAATCTGGTGTAAAGTTACTAACAGTATTCTTAAGAGTAGAATCATTACTAAAGTTATCTTTTATTTTTACAACTAAAACTCACTGTGCTTAAAGGGGAGCTAAGACTAGGACATGATAGTCATGCCCTTTTTTATTATTATTATGGGCATTGTACTCCAATCACATTAGAGTCAAACTGACCGCATGTGTAAGCGGACACATTTCCATTGGTTTGAGTAACTCCAGACTTCGACTGAGTTCAAAAGAGTTGTGCCAGTTTATACGGAAGTTGAAGTTAGTTAATTATCTTAAACCTCAGTGTTTTTTCATCTTGAGTGGTGGCTTGTCTACATCATGCGGCAATGCACACTAGAGGAGTGTGAATTCTAAATCACATCAACATGCTGCACACTAACTGGCTTATATAGACTTTGCTGGTGTGCACTAAAAGTTCAGGCTCTACACAGGGCAGTTAGTGCACAATACATCAGTGTGCTTTAGAATTCATGCTCTTCTAGTGTGGATTGCTGTGCCATGTAGACAAGCCCTAAATGTCTAAATATTAGCGTGAAGAATGGATACATTTGTTGGCATTTGGAATAGCCTTACTCATAAAAATGAAAGAAGATAAATTCTGTATTATGTTAAAGACTTGGATTTGATCTATCTTGGGGTTGTAATCTATGAGAGCCCCTTCTGCATATTTATAGATTTGTCATACAACATTCCTGTGAGATAGGAAAGGAAATCAAGGTCCAGATTTTCCCACCCTCACTCATGTTAAGTAGCATTTTATCTCTTGATTAGTCGCATTGACTTAATTGATGAGTAACCAGATTCTGTGATTCTAAAACCTGGAATTGACCTTCAATTGCTAGAATCTCAGCCCAGTTTCAACCACAAGACCATCCTTCTTCCGTTTAATGGATTAGTAACTCAATTGATCAAGGAATAGGTGATCAACACAACCTGTTTGTGTTGGCTGCATGTAGTGATTGACGGCTATTTTGTGTCCCCTGTGAAATGTGTTGATGGTTTCGTTTAGTTCCTAGTCTCCACATGACCAAAAACTGTGCAATAACAAAAGACACTTAACTTTTTGGTCCTGTCTACACAAGACCTCCTTGTCCCCCCCTAAACTGGTCCTGAAAATAGTTTAGCTGCTAGAATAAAATAATTTTCAACATCATTACAAAAAGGGTGTTAGAAACTTGATAGACCATAATGCCAGCCATTTGCTGGGTATGGTTTTTCCTGTCTACACATTTTAAGCATCAATTGGGTAGGACCCAATGGAGATCAATTGCTGACAACACTGTCAGCAAAGAGCCATTGTCCTTGTGTAGACATGGTGAAGAACACAAAGACTGAATTTGAATGGAGACTGAACTACCCTCTCAGTGCTAGAGGTGGTTCTTCCTAATAAGGTTGAGACCCCTTAGCAGGAAGGCATGGTGAAGCATGATATAATGCTGCCCAGATTATATGTGTTTTGTGGGAAAACATTTTCTCATTTACATTAAAACCCCTTTACACCATTCTTGTGGAGTGTAGGGGCCTTAAACTGGATGTAAATGAAGGATTATTTAATCTGCCAGAGTGGTGTGCAGAGGTTTTGGTATAAATGAGATTCAGGCCCTCAGTCTCCAGGCCAATTAGTCTGGCATTTCCATGATCTCCCAAAGTTAATTTAAAGAAAACAATGTGGGTTATTAACTTATGTATTTTTTCCTTAAATATATAACGCTGTGTGTTCTATAGGATGATAGATTTCATCTTTTTCTCTTTCCATTTCCAAAGTTAAGGTGATAACACCATAGGAAGAAAAGCACAACTACAAGAACATTTTCCCTTTTTTTCTCATACATAATATTACTTTCATATGTGTTCTTAAAAAAATAGGTAAGGGGAAGCAAATGTAATTAGAAAGACTTTTTCAGTGTGTCATTAAAATTTGGTTTCCTAGCAGCCAAATTGTGGCATGCATTTTTAAACAGAGCTCTTCATTAATAACCAGTGAGGAGTTCTGCTTTAAAAATGGTGGCACAATACGGTTCTTGGGCCTTATTTATTTAAAATGTAAGGTGGACTGATAGAAATATTCTGTCAAAGAGGAGTTTTGTACAGTATACTTTTATTAGGGCCAGATTCTCCATTGCCCTGTTCCTTGGGTAGCCATTTACATCAGTGCTAAGAGGGTGTAAAATGCTACCAGTTAAGAATGATGCAGCAGGTTGGGGAATCTAGCCCTTACTGTTTACCCCAGTATAGAGTAACCATTGAGTACAAATATTGATGAAAATCATCTCAATCTTAATACAGTCTGAATGATGAACAACAGATGATTCCCAGTCTATGTTGAAAAATTGACTGCTTACAACATATTTCACAACATTTGGTGAATAATGTGCAGGATTAAATTGTGTTTAGAAGAAAGATTATATTGATTACTATTTTAACCATAAATTTGTAACTTGATAATCATTAATGGAAAAATATAAATAAATTGGGGTGGTTTTATGAGCTTGTAAAACCTCCCAAATATATATTTATTTTCTACAATGTACACATTGAGACTTGTTAAATATGAGCCTGGTTTGGACCACTAATAAGCACCAGCTGTTAGATGGTCACATAAGACTTCTACAAGCCAAAGGAATCCATTGAAAGGTTATTTTTATGCTAAATATTGCTGCCAGACTTTTTATGGCACTTGCCTTAAATCAAGTAGTGTAAAACATCCCACTTTATTAGATTGCATGCCATGATTGGTCAAAAATGTGTGCCTTTTCATACATGTTAGAACCCCAAAGACGATATATCTTTATAGTAGTTTATTTTGTTTAAAAAAAAAAAAGTGTGAGAGAGAGAGAGAAACGGATGAATTTGAAAGGAATTCATATCTATCTTTCGATTGCACACTTTAAACAAAAATAATACAGAGCTTATGATGTACAAAATAGTTTTTAAAATGTTACTTGCAAAATAAAACCCCAAACTATTAATGTTCAGAATGAAATATATATATGTACCAAGAATGCTAAAACATCTATTTCACATTATCTACAAAATGTATATTCTAATCCAGTCACAAATCATAGGAAAATACTTTGATACATGGAAAAAGCTATAAAACATAAGATGAACATTTTGAAAAAAAATTACATGTAAAAAGCTCATTAAATAATTACAGTGACAAATAAATAGTTTATTCGGCTTTACTTTTCAATTGCTGCCATGCATATTTTAGTTTTTGGTAGATAGAAGAAAAAGATCAGCATGCAAGGTATTGTTTTGTTAGAATGAAACTGACAACAGTTACTGGTTGCTGCTTTTAAGCAGATGTGTCAAAAGTTCATAAAATATTATTCGGAAGGCAAGAGACATTTGCTAATCAACTGTTCCTGTGAAAATTCACAACAAAGCACCTTTCTAAAAAATAAAATTTCAGTGAATGTTCATGGGAACAATTCTTTGCCTCCACACCTCAAAAAAATGTAAGACTTCATTGTGTGGGGTTGGAAGGCTTGTGGTACTGCCCATCTGGAGCATTTGGAAAATCACCAAAAAGGTCCATATGCACAGAATGCTGTTTTGAGCTTGATCAAAGCAATGCACCATCAGGTGAGAATACAGCAATGGCAGACTTGTCTTTTAAGCAGTCAGATCTGTAAAGAAGATGGTTACAGATGAGTTCAGTTTTGGGGGAACAGTTGCCTGACTTCTAACTTGAGCTGTGCTTGCTGGATTTACTGGCTCTTTTTCTCTCTTTGTGATGCTGGGTGGGCTTTGCCTGAGAGGTTCCCTCAAAATTATGGCTGGACTCGTTGTGCTGCCTGGTGTACCTCTTGCATTTACAGGCCGTGACCACTGTTATTTTGTAGGTTCTTGTACTTCCATCTTGACACTGGAGCTGGATCCTCTGTGTGCGAGTTTTGTCATTGACACATCTCCACTCTTGGGAGCTCCTTCTGCTCCAGTACTTGGTTCCATAACCTCCTCCAATCCAGTTGGGGAGCACTGGCAAAGGGAGGCACTCACCAGCACACACAAGCTCTTTCAAAGGATTTATACTGGTACACTGCCCATCTGAAATGTACTTGGTGGATCTCAGTTCCCGGCAGCCAACTTGAACGCGATCTGCAGAACGCACAAAACAATGAACATTGAGACTCATAAAAAAAAGATTTCCTAAGCCAACCTTCAGACTCCAACTCATTTTCAAATGATCACAGCATGCATAGCAATTGATGACAGAGGCTTAGACTATATAAGCTTTTGGGGATGATCTTTTAATTATATATGTATAAAGTGCCTAACACAATAGGGCCTTGATCCGTGATGGGGGGCCTCTAGGTGCTATCACAATACAAATAATGATATTTATGTCATAGCACTGCAGGAGCTATATAGTCGCAGTAGAGGAGGCAATTTCATCCTAAACCCCCTTGGTCAGGTGCATGGAGGAAAAAAAATGCCCTTGCTTGTTCTTAGAAGGAATTTGCTCTGTGATGGTTGGTAAAACTCTGTTTGACCGTTAGTGTGAAAAATAGTGTTTTTAGGATTTTAGAAAATATTCTAATGCATTTGAATAAAGAATTGTTTTATTTTAAAACTTCATATTTGCTATGGATTTAGTCTCCAGTGAAGGCTAGTGTTCTGAAGAAAAACTGTTTTGTAAATAATAAAAGTTGTAAGTGTTTGAAAATTATGTTTTGCACATGATGTTCAATTTTTTAACCATGTACACTGGTCATTTTGCCTTAAGGATAACATATGAATATGTGCTTTATTCCTTATACAGTACTTCTTATACCTAATAGAGGTAATACTGCAAATCCTGAGGCAACTTTTTAGTTCTCTAGGTAAGCTAACATGGTATAAAGGTGAGAGCTGCAAATATAGGCATGTTTGTACCTGCTATTATGTGCAGCTCTGCTCACTGCAATAAACACAACTGTTTAGTTCAGTAATTACACTTAGACATGAAGGTAATATAATATGCAATCCTTCACTGGCTGTTCTCTTCCTCTTTCTCAAGGAAATATACAGTGGAGATTGTACACATATTATACAAGAGGGCGCACTCACAATTGATGCTTTTAAAAATAGAAGTAATAATCACTAGAATGATACCTTAGAGTACAAATAAAAGGGTTTGAAGGTACCTCACCTCATTAGTTACAAGATGCTTCTGTTTTGGTTTGGTTTTTGAATCAAACTCTAATCAGAGACATTGAGTTAAGACAACAATTTCTCCTTGTCCCTTTCCCCACTGCTTGCAAGGTGCACAGTCAGGGGGATTAGGAATTTGAAGACTGTTCTGGATAGATGATTTACAAAAGGACTGGTTTCTAGACTGCTTGACTCGCCTGAATGATTCAAGCTCGCCTTCTTCCCTGCAGCTGCGCTCAGGAATGTACCTGGAAGCAGCTGATCACAGCTTTGATTTGTCTTGCCTTCTGTTTTTATGTATATACAGGTTCAGCTTTTCCGTAGTGACAGTTCATTGACAATGAATACCTACTGGGCTGCTCCAGTAATCTCATAATGACGAGACATTTCCTGTGCAGTTAAACCACCCATATTCATAAAAGCTGACACGTCTTGCCTTTGCTGGACGATATTGCCATCAGTTTTTGCCTTTGCTTTCCATCAATGACGCTGTTCTTACTGAATGAATTTGGGTCGGTTTTTCACTTTAGCTTAATGAAGTGGGGATGGGAGGGAACGGAACAAGCCAGAAACCACATCCGCAGAGTATCTCTCGGACCCTTTATACATATAATTCAGTAGGGAGGAGAAAATCCCATAACATTAAAAAAAAAAAAAAAAAGTAAGTTGGAGCAGAGATCACAGGTAGGTTGTGAACCTGTTTGTTTACTTTTGCTAGAGGCGTTAAGCGGGTAAGTGCTAAACTAGGAAGTGAAAAACAAAAATCTGGAACAAAATCAAAAGCTTTTTGTCTGGAAGAGTTACATTTCTGAAGCAGCCCAGACAGGATGCTGTACCTACACACTACTACACTGAAAGCCAGAGTGAGTGAGCTAAGAAAGGTTTCAGAGTAGCAGCCCTGTTAGTCTGTATCGGTAAAAAGAACAGGAGTACTTGTGGCACCTTAGAGACTAACACATTTATTACAGCATAAGCTTTCGTGGGCTACAACCCACTGAAGTCTCTAAGGTGCCACAAGTACTCCTGTTCTTTGAGCTAAGAAAGTGAGCACATTTAAAATGTCATTTCCCCCATTTTCTTTACCTTCCTCCTCTTTTCTACTGCAGCAGCATCAAAAACTGAGTTCCCAGTTTAAATGACTGAATCTGTTAATCACGTGATGCCCCATATAAATTGAGGGTGAAGTTGGTCGGTGTGTGTCCAGAGGGAGTAAAGAACTAACAGAACATATTTTCCTTCCCTAGATTTAAGTTTAGATTTTATTTTCCTTGACGTATCACCAGGGCGATGGAAGGAACCTGCAGGGATAAAGCGTGTTCAGGCAAAGCCAGAATGCCATGCTGAGTGTGTACTCTGGGTAGTAACAAATCCAGCCGGTTTTTGTTAAAATTACCCCTCTCAAGGATCACTGCCTAGGAAAACGTGCTCATTGACAAATGCATGATTCTTCCTGAAAACTGGACATGGGTGCCAAAAGAAAAGTAGGGTTACATTGGTTAGGCATAAACCCACCCTGCAATAGGTGAAGCAAGGGCTGGGAAACGCTAAAAGTTAAACACTTACTGTTACGATCTAATCCAGTGTTGCCGTAATGCCTGCCTCCGTTTCTGGCTTGGTTCAGCGTGCTGTTGCTGCTAGGGCTCGCTGGAACAGGTTTGACCACATGTGTATAAAGGATCTCTGTGGCATCATTCTTGAAAGCCAAACAGCTTTTCATGAAGACGCAGGCTAGGAGAAAGCCGGAGAAGTGAATGGCAGGGAGGAGAATCATGGTTGGTTCGGTTTCTGGCTGACCGCGCTGGGTGAATTCCTTTTCTTCAGCTTCTTCCCTGTAACTCTGAAATGCCTCTTGAAGGTTTCCCTTATATATCCACAGAGGCTTGGCACTCGTGCAGGTGTAAAGTTGTGGATTGATTCAGAATGAAAACATAGAGAAGGGGTGGGATCCCTACATGAGCCCTCAAAGACATTTTACCAATCGAAAAGAAGACTGCAGTAAAGGAGGAGTCTGCTTGCACTAATTGCAGGATTCCTAGTTGGGGCTTTGAGGGTGTCAGGAAACTGTGAACTGTATGGCAGCAGGCAGACTGAGGTAGAGACTGCAGGCTCTGTTCTGCTATTCCAAGTCCCCTGCATATCTGGGATTTTTGTGTGATGCGATTGAACCAAAGTGTAACTGGGTGTCTGTCTTTTTCCTCTTATACACAGTTGCTCTTCCCTCTCCTACAATGTGCCTTTGGGAGAACTGGCCAGCTATGTAAAGAATGAAAATATTACAGAAAATATACAAGTTACACATATTTTAGCTATTAAGAATAAGTCTTTTCAAAAAATATACTGTGGGAAATGTAAAGTTCCCTCCAGATAGATTTAAATAATGCAGCTTTTATCAACATGGACCATTGCTAGAGAAACTGCTTGTGTTAGGGGAGTATTGGCTTCTCCGTGTGCAGAGAGTTACAAGTATATAGTTCTGTGTCACCCTGGGTAATAAGAAGTTCCTCCAGTACAATCTTCTCAGTACAATCATCCATATTGATAGATCTGCATTATACTCATTCATCAGACTCACCTCATTTTGTTTAGTAGACTGTCTAAAAGAGTAAAACATTTTTTTTAAATGTAAATATATTTTTCATATAATAATAAATTATTACACAGAGGAAAGAATAATCCTTATTTTGACACATAACATTTTGCTTGTATCTTATACTTACTCATTTTCCATGAAATCCTGAACATAAAGCTATGGCCCAAACTCAACTGCTTGTAGAAACTGGGGTAATTCCAATGAAACCAATTCCTGTTTACATCAGTGGTGAATTTGGCATTCATTACAAATAAAACTAGAGTTACTGATATTTAAAACCTACAATATTTTACTAGCAAACTTTTTTGAGAGGGAAATAACACAACAGCCCCACAGGAAGTCAGATGACACAAAGGGTAACACATTAGTGGTCAGATTCTTAACTCACACTCAGGAGCGGATTTACCATGAATCACACCATGCGGTGCACGGGGCCCCCAACGACAGGGGGACCCCCAAAATGCAGGACAAATCTCATCTGACAACCTGCCCCGGAGTCCCGGCTGGCGGCGCAGCAGTGCTCAGGCAGGCAGGCTGTCTGCATGCTGTGGCCTGTGGCCCCATGCTGCTCCCAGAAGCGGCTGGCTCCCGGCAAGTCTCTGCGTGCCCCCTGCTGGGGGGGGAGGTGGCTCTGCGCACTGCCTCTGCCCTGGGCAGCGCATGGAGATCTGCTGCCTCCCTCCCCCCAAGGGGCACACACAGCTCCCTGCCCGCTCTGCCTTCCTTCCTCTGTGCCGCTCCTGGAAGTGGCTGGCATGTCCCTGTGGCCCCTGGGGTGTGTGTGTGTCTCTGCGTGCTGCCCCCACCCCAAGCGCTGACTCCGCAGCTCCCATTGGCTGGAAACTCCGCACTCCAGTGCCTGCGGGCAGTGGAGCGCGGAGACCCCTCTGTCCCCCTCACCTAGGAGTCGCTGCCAGAGGAGTGTGTGCCGCCTGAGGTAAGCACCATACCCCTACCCCCCTCCCACACCCCAACCCTCTGCCCCAGCTCAGAGCCTGCACCCAAACTTCCTCCCAGAGCCCCACCCCTGCACCTCTTCCTGCATCCCTATTCCCTGCCCCAATCAAGGTACCTCACTTTATTTTCATTTACTTCCCATTACTTATAATATAGGGGGAGGATGAAGAAAAAAGGAATGAAAAACGGTGTGTGTGTTTCAGGGGGAGATAAGAGAGAATGTTCTTTTTCTTGTCTGGGTCCTGGGGGTGGGGTGGAGGGGCAAAAATGAAGCTGCGCACAGGGCCCCACTAACTCAAAATCCACCACTGCTCATACTGCTGTAATTCAAATGAAATCAATAGAGTTACTCTAGATTGACACTGCTGTAGTGTGAGCAGAACCAGGCTCAAAGAATTACCTTTAAAAACCTGGGTGAAAACCAAAGTAACTCACAAAGAAAACGAGTTCATCTCATCCTAATCCCCAATGGACATTTGTCTACATCTCCCACACCTTGGTCCTGCACCACTGAAATCAATGGGGACTTTACCATTGACTTCAATAACAGGAGCAGGTCCAAAATCACCACTCAGCTGACAGGCTATGCCTGAGAGACAGAGGAATAACTGGAGTGTTGCAAGGCAGAAGTGAGGTGTATTGGCAGAGCTGTGTGCAGGGAAGCTTGATCAATATCTGCTTGTATTATGACGAGACCCACCCAATTCTGGAATAACAGGAATGTTGTAACATCTACTAGCAGACCTATGTGTGGAGAAGCTTGGGTAGTACTTGGCTCTATTATGACCTACCCCAATCAAGGTTATCAGTTTCTTGTTTTAATGAACATTAAATTCATCCACAAAAATACAGACATTATTAAATAACCTTCCTTTATAAAAACCAGTTATAAAGTAAAGCTTCCTTTAAGGTATTCAAGAAAGTATGTACATTATGAAATTAGTAATATTAATAAAGGATTTTTCTGTAATTGTGGCAAACCAAATATATGCATTTTTGTGTTTTATAAATTTTATCTTAATTTTTCTCTCCAACTGCAGATTATACAGAGCCTCACACGCTTTTCCCATAATATATTTTCTGGATTGGTATGGCCCAAACATCACAATACAAATTTTAAAAAGTACTGCGTCTATTGTGCAGTTATCCCTGGTACCGAGGATAGGGTACCTCTTTTTAGAAGGAAGTTGGGTTGGGTAGGGAACTCTTTTCTCTGATAATGACCCCTTTTTGTAAGAGGAATGCTGGGAATTTTCTTTCTAGTGACTATGGGGCCAATCCTATAAAGTGCTAAGAAACGCTCAACTCCTGCTGACTTCAATGGAAGTTGAGGGTGCTCGCTCAGCACCTTGCAAGATGGGGATACATGAAACCTCCTAGAACTGCCCAGGACTTTCTGCTGGGCTTAGTGAAGACAGACCTAAGACAGGCCTCCTGAAAACAGGAGGGAGTACTAGTTCAGTTCACTTTTGAAATTGGTGGTGATGGGAAAGATCCCAGTTGGTTGTAGATAGTTTGTTCTGTTTTTATTATTTTAAGCCCATCTTTACACCTTGTTTTTCCATATGTTCAAAATATTTCATGAAAATCTGTCCCAAGAGCTCTCTCCTGTGATGTTCCACAGGATTTGATTCATTCAGCCCTCCTGTTCAACATGGATTTGAGGGTTTTCAGGAGATGGTGAGATCATTTGAGCTACAGTGTTGTAAGTATGCGGATGATTGTCTGTCTTTCATCACTTCCAGATGATGCAGTCTCTTTGCTTTTTTAGTGCTTGGATGAGATGGGGTATATGTATAAGAGTCAGTGTCATGAAGTTCACAGTTTGGAAGTGTTTCTTGATGCCCAACTCTTCATAGATTCCCAGAATTAAATATCTTTTGCCATTTTTGATCAGATGATTGTGATCATTCCTTTCTCATGTGGATGTAGATAAATTTATCCATTCTTTTGTGACCTCCAGACTGGGCTACTGCAATGTGCTCTACTCTGGCTGCCCTTCTCCAGATCAGCAGCTATGGCTTATATAAAACATTGCTCCCTGCTTAATTAGCAGTGTTGGCTATAGGTATATTACAGAAGCCTGTACTGGCTTCCTGTTTGCCTCCAGGTAGGATTCAAGATATTCCTATTGATCTATAAAGCCCGATCTGTTTTGAGTCCTGAGTGATAAATCCCCTACTCTTTATGTGCTATTTGACAGCTGAGATCAGCCGTGGCACACACTTAGGGTTGAATGTCTGGGAATTTGAACTCGGCTGTTCAAAGTGACCGGCATTGACTCTGGAATCCACTTCCACCATTGGTTCATCAGATCCTGAATCTATTGACGTCAGGGCATGATATAAAGCCCACCTATTTGCTCAGACTTTTCCTTGAAAGGGGTAATTGTAGGGAAAGTACAAAGCTTTACCTTGGGGCAAGGTGTGAGTCTATTAGGTGGTTTGTTTTAAATGTTTGTACATGTGCCCATAGATTGTGTGATAAGTAAATTACATAAATCTCAAAATAATTAAATAAAGGTAGTGTTGGAGCCTACAGATACATGCTTTTTGCTGCCTGACTACTTTTTGCATCTGAATAGTCACACTTCTGAATGAGCTCACAATTTACTGATAATATCATTCATCATATGTACATGTTCTTGCAAAGAAGAGTGGTCACAGTTATTCACACATTAAATCTTGATTCCTGCAACTTCTGGAATAGAAAAATATACACACTTTCTTCTCATTGTGTGCAGAATAATTTAATGTGTACATTCTGTAAACCTCATAAAAGAGAATTCCCTTGATACTATATGATTTTATGGTAATTTATTGTCTGTCAGGATCCTGTTCCCCATTTGTCCCACATGTTATGATGATGTCTAAAGTGCAAAATTTTGTGTAGAGCACATGCCTGTCTAGTATCAGAGGGGTAGCCGTGTTAGTCTGGATCTGTAAAAGCAGCAAAGAGTCCTGTGGCACCTTATAGACTAAATAGTGCCACAGGACTCTTGGATGCCTGTCTAGTGGCACAGAACATCCACCAGGAAAGGGAGGATATGCATAGACAAGAACAAATGAGTAGACCAGAGCAGTAGCTTTGCAACCTCCACATTAAATGTACATTCAAAAAGTAATGAGTAATTCCCAATGTTTAGTAAAACTTGGGAAGCATTTTAAAAGAGGTTCACAGTGGAAAAGAGCCCACCTAATTACAGTACTGACAGGAAAAGCAATGCTTATAATTAAAGGCGTGAGTTGAAATGAAGGCAGCAGGAAACAAATACATTTTTTTTAATAATTCAAGTCATGTAGACAATTAGTATATTACACCTTTAACTTGTTTCAAAATGCAGGCATTTTGAGGAGAAA